CACGCGACGTACACAACGCGTGTAAAACACATTGTATAACGAGAGTTGGGCAATAACTGCATGTGGCGCTTTGGACTAAACGGTACCTTATAAACCGCAAATCAATAATGCCAATTAGAAGTATCATAGTAATAACGGGTAAGTTACGTAAAATAAATAGATGACTAACGAACGCAGAGAAGGTGACATTCGCAAGCCAAATTGTAGTTAGACCAGTTGTTAATTTGATATATTGTTTACAAGCGACTCGCCACTCAGAGTCATGGTATCACAGGGGCGATAGATTGTAATCGGGTCCATAATTCTTACAAATGCGAAGAATCAAAAAGCACTGGAATGAGACATGGCTGTAAATAATTAAACACAATAATAATAACGTGTCCAATACACGCGTCCCCAGACTCGCTGTGTACATTGAACGCACGCGCTATTCTGTCCACTGTTGTACCGATGGAGATTTGTGCAAACATGGAAGACAACTTTTAAAAGTAAAAGGATGTACATTCATTTTATTATTATAGAAGTGTCATTAACAAAGATTTGACAAGTTCTCATTTGAACGCCCTTAATTAACCAATAATAAATCAAAGAACAATTTAAATACTGTTCAGAAATCGGTAAATTGTGAGAGATGTATCTTACCAATAAAGAGGATTATTTCTTATCACTGGCCTCTCATAATACCCTATACCCTCTCCAATACAAGCCCGAGATTAAATATCTCTCATTCTATGTTTTATCTGTTTCCATTCTAGTATAGTCTCCTAACAGATTGAATACATTTGGCTGGAAGGCTTGACATTTTATCACCCCTGGTTAATCAGCTTCGTGGCTTATCACGTGATTAGTTGTGGAAACCACTAACCTAAAAGGCTGACATAGGTAGAACTAGGCAACCAATCAATTTCCGATGTGCGTTATGCTCAACGTTTTTTTTTTTCTCCTGGAAGTCTCATATATTTTTCTTGGGAAGAGACGAATTCATGTCGAAATAAACTACTGTAGAATACTTTATTTTCGCTTGAAATTAATTTTTCGCTGAAGTAATGATTCAGTGAAAATAAAATCCAGTGAACATACCCTTTTTCCTATATTTCACATTCAACTTGTCAAAAATCAGTGAAAATAAATTCCATAAAAAGCACCAAAATGTCTTTTCGGTGAAAAATTAATTCCAGTTAAAATAAAGTATTTTACAGTATTTATTAGCTTGAATGATATTTTGTCAATAACGGGTTACAAGTAAGAGACTCCATATTGGCTCCAAAAAACTAAAGTAACTGAGTTTATACGGTCACCTATGGGGATTATATTATCGGTAGTGTGCCAGTCTGACTATACGTCACTTCCGCATCCTCTGGTTCATTCACTTTGCATACAAAGTGCGTGTGCAAAAAAAAAAAAAAACTGAACGGTGATTTTGCAAATAGTGTTGCCCTATGTGTGTAAGTCATTACGTAACCAGTAACCAAATGTAAGACGCTTCTCTGTATATTGTAGAATTAAATCTTCATTCGCTTCACCGCATATCATATAGTATTATCAAACCGTGTTTCTGGCGACCACAGAAAAGGATGTGACGTCATGTGTGATTTCGCAATGCATCATGAGTAACATGCTAATATGCTAAGAGTTTGATCGTGTAGTAAAGTATAAATTTCTGTTTTAACGTTCAAAAAATTAAACTTATAAATCACTTCCAAATACTGAATAGCCTTATTACGTCATTTGGTGAATTGTGACTTATAATGTCCAACAAACATCTTTATACTGATACGTAAGTAGACTTGTCTGCAAGCGATTCTATCAAATCAGTCACCCTGGGGCTTTCCCACATTACGTTCTCGTCCCAAGTGGTTGTTTCTTTCACACTTTGTGTTTGCTAAAGCGACTATAATTGCATACAGACAATTTGCGAGGCTTTGCGACGATTATCCATGTTACAATGCTAGCACTATGCATGCTGTACATTTAAATCAAGTGTTTCTATGCGGCACTGCATAACGACTATGCAGAATTTGTTATGAAAAGTAACATTAGTGCGATGATAAAAAAAACACCCGACTCAATGATGTGTCCATTACTAAATGAAGTAAATATTTCTACTGGTAATCAATACGACGCTACACAGATGTGTGTAACTTCAGTGGCCGTGGGGGGGGGGGCGGTCGCACTCTCGAAAAAAATGTTGCTACTCCAAAATCAAGCTGAAACCCTTTGTGTCAGTAATTTGTGTCGAAATTGTTAAGGGGGAACATGCCCGGACCCCCTAGTAAGGTCGCGCCTTCGGTGCAAGGTTGTGAGCAGATCCCCCCCCCCCATGCAAAATATCGTGCCGCCGCCTCTGAACTTTGCTTAACTGAACTTTAAATATACAGTAAGATAGCTAGGGGAATATGGCATGCAATGTGAGCACGATCTATGTTTGCACGCGCAGGTCAGTGTTATACACCGCTAAGTGATTCGCTTTTGCTTTGAGTGTCGAAACTAGTTGATTTCTCAGTGATAGACTTGCAGAAAACATCACGAATCTCTTCACCAGTTTCTATCATAGACACAGACGAATATTTCACTCAAGATTATGATGGCCGACTGTTGACGTTTTTATCCAACTCATAGCTAATTATGATTTCAAATAATATCAGTGGTTTATCAAACGTTTTACAATGACGTGCAGTTTATATAATCGATTAGTATGTTTGTTTTCGACACCTTCATTAGCATATTTGTCTATTAGTAACTGCACTCAATCATTTTTCAGTTTCTCAATCCAGGCACAAACTGATATATTACTCATCTCACCCCCCCAACCTCCCCGATTTTACACACGCTCAAGGAATTAAGATTTCAAATTTGATAAAATGAAACCAATCAGCGTTAACGCTATATATCACATGTACATCCCAAGGGTCAGCTATAGAACGACAATAACAGAATAAATCTCACAAACCCTTAAAGCAATTCAATAATGTAAAACACTAACATTTCAAAACGAATGAAATGTTTGTCCAGAGTTATATAAAACACAATGTAGTGTGTACACTTGTCAATGCGGGGTTAAAGTGAACCATATGATTAAAACAATCATTTTGTCGATCATATTTTTTTCGAACATGTATTTATAGCTTGTTACTCACTAGTGTTCAGTCACATGGAATAAGTTACTCACTAGTGTTCAGTGACAAAGATGATTTACTCACTAGTGTTCAGTGACAAAGATGATTTACTCACTAGTGTTCAGTGACAAAGATGATTTACTCACTAGTGTTCAGTCACATGGATCATGTTACTCACTAGTGTTTAGTGACAAAGATCATGTTACTCACTAGTGTTTAGTCACATGGATCACTTTAGTCACTAGTGTTCAATTACATGGGCCGTGTTACTCACTAGTGTTCAGTCAGATGGATCATGTTACTCACTAGTGTTCAGTCACATGGATCATACTACTCACTAGTGTTCAGTCACATAGATCATTTACTCACTAGTGTTTAGTCACATGGATCATGTTACTCACTAGTGTTCAGTCACATGGATCGTGTTAATCGGGTGTGTTCAGTGACATGGATCATGCTACTCAGGAGTGTTCAGTCACATGGATCATGCTACTCACTGTTGTTCAGTCACATGGATCATACTACTCACTAGTGTTCAGTCACATAGATCATGTTACACACTAGTGTTCAGTCACATGGATCATACTACTCACTAGTGTTCAGTCACATAAGTCATGTTACTCACAAGTGTTCAGTCACATCGATCAAGTTACTCACTAGTGTTCAATCACATGGATCATGTTACTCACTAGTGTTCAGTCACATAGATCATGTTACTCACTAGTGTTCAGTCACATGGATCATACTACTCACTAGTGTTCAGTCACATAGATCATGTTACTCACTAGTGTTCAGTCACATGGATCATATTACTTACTAATGTTCAGTCACATGGATCATGTTACTCACTAGTGTTCAGTCACATAGATCATGTTACTTTGCAGTGTTCACATGAATCATGATCATTTACTAGTGCTTTATCATATAGTTGTCTAAATAACTGACCCGATCTGGTTGCTAATGATGCATTTCGTTTGAAACGTTGTAATGTGTTACGTTGTCTTGTAATGTGTTTCGTTGTAATTTGTTGTAATGGGTTACGTCGTGTTGCGTTGTAACGTGTTACGTTGTGTTGTGTTGTAATATGTTACGTTGTGATTCGTTGTACTATGTTAAGTTGTGTTGTGTTGTAGTGTGTCACATTGTGTTGCGCTGTAACGTGTTACGTTGTGCTGTAATGTGTTACGTTGTGTTTTGCTGTAATGTGTTACGTTGTGTTGCTTTGTATTATATTAAGTTTTGTTGTGTTGTAATGTGTTACGTTGTGTTGCGTTGTAATATGTTAAGTAGTGTTGTGTTGTAATGTGTTACGTTGTGTTGCGTTGTTATATGTTAAGTTGTGTTGCGTTGTAATGTGTTACGTTATGTTGCGTTGTAATATGTTAAGCTGTGTTGCGTTGTAATGTGTTACGTTGTGTTGCGTTGTAATATATTAAGTTTTGATGTGTTGTAATGTGTTACGTTGTGTTGCGTTGTAATATGTTAAGCTGTGTTGCGTTGTAATGTGTTACGTTGTGTTGCGTTGTAATACATTAAGTTGTGATGTGTTGTAATGTGTTACGTTATGTTGCGTTGTAATATGTTAAGTTGCGTTGTAGTGTGTTACGCGGTGTTCCGCTGCAACGTGTTACGTTGTAATGTGTTACATTGTCATGTGTTGTGAAACGTTCCGTTACGTTATAATATACCATGTTACGTTTGAAATAAACATTCATAATTACCAAACAACTAGATAGTTTAGAATACTACTGCCGATGAACAATACAACGCTGTAAAATTGAACATTATACTTACTTGAATGTATCATCTGATACGTTGTGATATTTGGCGTAAGAGTCACCACTTCCACGGGTAATGTTCTGTTGACAACTAAGTCACTTTCCAGTGTTGTTTCAGCAGAGTTATTTTCCGGAATAAATGGGCTCATGACGCGAAGAACTCACCACAAGTACGCATGTGTCAGCATCTGCTGGGCTCAGCAAAAATCCGCCAAATAAACACTCCACCCTTTCCTGGTGCTCAGCATGAAAGAACGTCAAGCTAGTTTCTGCAGCGAACTGATTAACGCCTCGCTTTCAGAGAATGAATCGTAGAGATGCAGATATACGACACACACCGCGCGGTGGTCTGATTTGACAAGTGAATATCCCCCTAATTAGTTATGTATACGTAGGAAATTCATATACGAACGATGGGGGCGACATGACGTACATTGCTCACAGCATGGGTTTTCATTTTGCATATATGGTACACACTGACGAAGAGTATAAACAAATGGTAGATATTCTCATCAGTTTCCATGTTTTTGTAATAGAAGGAAGGACATTTTGAGATATATGCCGTAGGAAACAATTATAGTAAAATGTTCTAAAACAGACAAAACATGAGATTGTCATTCTATACTGTATATAGACTTTCTTTGAACTTGAGTACGCTGACCTCATATTTTATTTTATTCATCCTTCTGAAAAAAAAATTAGTAGCATTTATAACTTTAAACGGGTGATCAGATTTCAGTGATTTTTAAAAATATGGTCTTATTCCATGTTGATGTTCAAAAAACAGATAAAAATACATTGTCAGGGCGGAAATCTTTTTCACAGAAAATGTGGGTCAAACATCTATGAAATTGGTAATTTTTGAGTCACTTACAATTCGTTGCTATGGTAGAAACGTTTAGTAGTATCTCAAAATTTCGTTAAGTTGCATATGGTAGAAAAACACGCATATAAGATGAGTTATTAAGGTTGTCGCAAATTATCAGGAAATGCTTAATTATGCAATTGTTGTTATGAAATGAATCTGTATCATGTACATTTTTGGATTTTTAGAAAAATGGATGGCTTACATAATCGATAATTATGTTACACTATATAGATCATAACAATATAATTGCTTCAACCCTATTTATAAGGTTTCTGACGTCACGGTCACAGTCACAGTCGTAATTAATTTGTTACAAAACTATCTTCATGTTTTAACGGGGTAAAACTCTGAAACTACATAGCATGGTGACCCGTCACTAGCAAAATCGACTACTGGCATATTTTTGTCGCTTTAGTTAAAGTTATCGCATTAACTTATAAAATAATTTTCGTTAGTTGTAAATCTCACCAACAGAGGGCGCTCTCAAGTCAACGATGTAGTTTTTGTGATATTTCTCTTGAAGTTCATACTTCGAAAATCTAAGAATAGTGAAATGAACATGTAACTAAATCCTAAGGGATTCAGTCGGTCTTGATAATATATGTATATAATCAACTGGTCCGCCTGGAAAAGCCCATGGAATTATCAAATTAAAGCGCCCTCTAACATCTTGACACTATTTGAGCAGAGTAGAATTCTGGCAAGTCAAATACACATCTGCGGTGATACGTGTAGTTCACAGTCAGCTGGCTCACGCGTGATAATAAAATAAATGCGATATTTACTATGTGGGCGCTATCTTGAATGCCGCATAAAACTAAATAAAAGACAAGTTGTGAAACGCGTTTTTCAGATTTCTACAAATCAGGACAAAAATGCCAAACTTTCACAGAAATACGATCCGTTGGGGTATTATAAAGCCAACCGATAACAAAATTCGGCCTAATTCGTCGTTTTTTGTGGAAAAATCCCTTGCATAGGAACACCTAATTACACGAAGTACATAGAACACTTCCCCGGGGTATTTGAAACCGAAATTGGCAGTTAACAGAACTTCGAGTTGCGGGCAACGTGCATCTTGTTTCTTGTTATATGCTTGTGTTTGCAAATCCACGTAGAATGTCTATGAAGCAATTTGTAATTATACTTTATTTTAAATTGTAATAGTCAATGCTGATGCCCGGAAGACATGTATTATTAAATAACAATCATAGGTAACAATAGAAATTGTTTTATCCAATAAAACACAGATGCTAATGTATGTGCTCAATTGAGCTAGGTTCATGAGAGAACAATGAAACGGAGTATTTCGGTGATAACTGTTCAATGCATACCCTAAGGAGAATGTTTGTTTCCGGGTTTTAGCCAGGTAACCAGGCACAAATCATCGTCTGTCTGAGTGACTGAATCACCACCCAAACTGATCCGTTTGACTGGACTATCTAAAATTATTCAAACGCTATTCAAACAGCGAATCCAGCTTGACGCGGCATGACTTAAAATGTATTATTCGATTGGACATTATTTATGAACAACTGTATAGAAATAATATAGAGAATACAACTCCTTGTTTACGGTCAGCGATGATGATATACAATTGATGTTTCCCCATGTATGTTCATGTGTATCGATTTTATATATATTTACATAATACTATATATTTACATTCATTTATGCAGGTATATTTGATCAGTTACTACCCACTTAACGAACTTCATTCTATAAACTGTATAATTCATTTTTGTTTTCAAAAATTTAACAGAGGACACATTCCTAATATCAACATTAAGGCAATTAAACCAATTTTACAGCTCCAGTAATGAAACATTCTGCAACCACTGTTGACGAAAGTTGTGGCGAATAGATATGTTAACTGTTTGTTTGTTTTTTAAATCTAGAATACATGACACAATAAGCGATCGCGTGAAATAAATAGACAGCCATTTGATAATGTAATTTTACAATTTTCACAATCTGATTGCTGGTGTGGCTTACAAAAGATTTTTATTGTACCAAAATTGTATTCTTTTTTTGTAATTCAGATGACGAAAACATATTTGAAACTTTTGTACATTTGAATTTGTCAGTTCATCAAAATTAGGAAATTCATTACGATTCCATTCAAACAATGTGTCCCCTGCGAAAAGTGCTTTGATAACGCCACTATCGTGATATAGTCGCGACATTACTGCAAGTTCATTTATTGTATGAGTTATTTATTCTGGGAAATGCAAAATTTAAAACCCTTGAGTAAACTGAAACAACTGTCAATTTCTAACGCCACTGCCACTACATGTTGCCTTTCTTTGTAGCTACAAAGATCCCCCGAAAATATGACCTGTCAATCCATACCCAATATTATTCTAAGCGACAACGATACGTAAAGGTGATGTAACTTTACGTGACATTTCATGTTACAAAAATTTAGAAAATGAAATACGGGGTCACTGTACTCGTTTCTAAGACAGCCAATGTATAAAATAGGGGGGAAGCATGTTTTATAGGCTTTAGGCAATTTTACAATTGTTTTCCAAAGCAAGGTTATACAAAAAGTGAAAGGTGACATGTTATATATACATATACGGTCTTACAATGTACATGTATAGATGTATTTCAAACTGACATTATTTTTAGTGGGTCTTTTATGACAGTGTGTTCGCCAAAAAATACTAAAAGAATTAATTTGAGACAGAGTTTGACAAATTATTGTTACTAATACAAACATATATAATATACGCACGTGTAGAATTCAAATCAACTTCATAGCAGTGTTGAATGAACTGTTAGTGTAAGCTATCACTTTGTCGCTTTACTCGAAATTGCGTTGAGTGTATGTGTATCAGTGGAATAATTTTATCTGTAAATTGTGCTAGTGAACATTCATTTGAGAGTATTATGTTGAACATGGTCGGTGTTCGTCATCCGGGAATCTTTGCTGTCAATCTCTCCACTGGCTGATCACACACACAAACTAACAAATTAAGTATCTTTGATGACAAAATATTGATTTTGGTACGTCTGCTGATATGCCAGGAGGTAAAAACATTACGATAAAGACTTTCCGTTTTCGACATTGTGAAATTCTTTCGTTTTTAGGGAGAAAAAAAATGGAAAAAAAAATGATTTTGACAAGATAATTCAGAAATTTATATTAAAAATAATCCATAACGAAAAGCATTCCAGATGTACCCGTAAATAATTGTCATAATTACCGATTACACAAGAATATTACAGAAAAAAAAATAATTTGCTATATTCTCTATATTTTTGCTTTTATTTGTCTTGAATCTTATGGCTGAAAGAAGCAGAACGAAATTACAAACTATGTAGTGTGTTAAACAAGTCATATATAACAATAACAATAACTTTAATAAATATGATTTTACTTGGTAAAAATACTGTATTTGTATGCATAAAAACAAAAGAATTTCACAATGTCGAACGGAAAGTCTTAATCGCACTGTTCAAGGGAATGTCAATGCAAATGTCACATTTACAGTCAACAATGTTTGTTCTTCAGTCTTAAAAAGGGACGAGCAAAACTAACACTTGTTGTACTCCCTGTCAATGTTTGACCAGGAAGCTATTCCTGGTCCAATGTGTCACTCATTTATGGAGTTCACCACTGCATTGATTGATCTTTATTAATATCCCAAAATTCAGATCACTATTGGATACAATACAGCGTGCAATTGAATTTCCTGTAAACCAACAATTGTATGTTATGCCCGTCACTGTACATAGCCCGTTTAGACACTCTGGGCAACTTCCAACAGAAAGCCCAAATTAATAATATTTATTATCTTTTCCAGTCTAAATTTTGAAGAGTGCGACTTTTGTGGATCGCAGCATGGCGATGTTTGACAAGAATTCCCTGTCATACGCTGCCACCTGGATGAGGTATTCCATGATGCACTCTATTTTTATCTTCTACCATGTCAAATTATCTCTCGACACTTAGTATATCACAAACATGGTTCAATGTTGCTCAGAGTGTATTCTTCGTATGGGACGCAATTAATGACCCATATTTTGCGTATTTTCAAGATAACTCAAAATGGAAATTATTTCGTCAGCGGAGATACTCCATTCTGTATGGCGCTCCCGTATTTGCCATCAGTTTTCTGTTGCCATGGCTCCCATGGAAAAATTGCAAACCAAATGATTGGTTGACTGAAGTGCATTTTATAATTCTCCTCTGTTCGTGTGACACGATGATCACATGTGTAATACTCGCACACAGTTCTCTTTACACGGAAATGCCCAGTCATCATGACGACCCATTACGTCTAACTCGTTATAACGTAATAGCTACTCTCATTGGATCGTCGTCAGTATTTTACGTGCGAAATATTCTCGGATAGTCGAAAACAATTCA